ACTGTAGTCTAGTGATATGACTGAAGACTTGCAAGTGGACCAATCAAGGCAGCTAGCCTTGGTCGCTTCGTCGCTCATATCCATCATATATCGATACGATTCATGGGCTTCTCGAAGCATACCTGCGCGGAGGAGTGCATCGCACCGTCTCTGGCTTGCAATTTGCCACAGTTGCTTGAGGTTCCATCCAAAGAGCTAGACAGATCACGGAGTTGAACATCAAGTTTTTCGGTTGCATTGTATCAACATACCACGACAAAGTCCTCATATGTAGAATGAATGGCTGACTGAGAGGTGGGAGCGATGGTATTGATAATGACAGTGAAGTGGTCAGCAGCTTCGTTGTGATGGGCGCCATCAAAGGCGTTTATCCCCAGTTGAAGACGTAGGCACGCCTGATATTAAAAGTTCAAAAAGTTCAGTGTCAACGACCGTGAGTCTGAGCGTGCACGACACTCACTTCCACGATATGACAGACAGGAATGTCTGCCTTGGGACAAACATTAGCCAACCTTTGGATGCGCATGATGGCGTGATCGTGTTGATTTGCATTGAAATAAGCGATTGCCTGAACTTAGTGAAGCAAGGTGAAACATGGGAAAATATCGACGTGCCTTGATCAGCAGGAGGAGGATATGAGTAGTCTTTGAATATTCGTTCGTAAACATGAACGCAAGGTCAAATGCATCCATCGCGTCCTGGGTTTGCATTTTTCCGCAGAGGGCGACACCCTTGGAAATATAGCCTGACAAGGAATCTTGAATGCTGATAGACTATGCCACCATCAAAGTGAGTTAGCCTTGAGGGATCGTGATGGGACAGTGTATCTCACCTTGAGTGCATCACCAAGCGCACGGTCCCAGTCGGCTTTTCGGGCCCTAACAAATGAGCGATTGGCATACGCGTTGTGGTCGTTATTGTCAGCATCAATCCGTTGTGTCAGCAGTTCTTCAGCAGTATCCAAGTCCCCGGCTATGCATGCATTGCGGACTGTCGATTCCATGTCGAGGATCTGTATAAAGCATGTTTACATTCCGGTATAAGAGCCAATGGTGAAAACATGCCTTAGAATCGACCAAACCATCAGAGCGCTTGAAAATGGCGATGGTTCGTGGATCCAACAAGCGCTCGAGTCGGGGGCAGTCCGTGGATACAGAAGCTCCAAAGCTACCGGTGAAGTCCCCGGTAATAGCGTTGACCACAGTATGGCGCTTCCAGGGATCACCGACTTGCTGCCACGTTGATGTATCCCACTCTTCTATGGTGGGATTTGGATTGGAGCCTGAGGACAACCGTGTACCATCAGGCGTCCACGCAAGTGAATAATTCCAGGCTGAATCGAGCGCAGCGTGACTCTCTAACTGTATGATGCATTCCCTCTTGCCCGTAGTCCATATTTGAACATTCTTGGATGTTGCGATGGCGAGATATTCTCCAGGCGGGGAATGCCGAACACAATGAACATAATCACTACAATCGATTGGATTCCCTTGCATCTGCCATGTTTCTGTGCTCCAGAGCTCTGTCGTGGTGTCCCATGAACCACTCGCCAGTGCTGTGCCGGTTGGAGAAAAGTCCAGTGACACGATTTGTTTGGAGTGGAATTTGAGAGGTTGAGTGAGAGAATCACCGGTGTTGCCGTCCCACGCGATGAGCTCTCCGTTAGCATCACCACTTGCTATCAACTGCCCATCTCCTGATACTGCCACTGCCCCCACCAAGGCACGATGCCCCTTCATTTCCTTCAACATAACACCATTCTTCAAGTCCCACAAACGAAGCGTATGATCTCCCAAGCCGGTCACCATATGTCGTCTATCGGGGAAGACTGCAGCTACAGATACAGCACATTCGCGAGTATCGGGGACTGCGGTTGCAGATATGGCGCATTCACGAGCTTCGAAAGCTCCCACAGGTATGGTAATCAGAACGAACGGCTGTGCTCCTTCTGTCATTTAGTCGGATATTGATGGTGTTGAGCACGGTTGAGGTAGGCTTGCTGTAAGCAGGTGGATGTCTTGCTCCACATTACACACAATCATTCTCGTCCACCCTTGTCTTATCAGACGCCCAAGGGTGATCATTCCAAAATAGATCGAAGGAAAGTGTGCCGCGATGCCGGGTATCATTTCGTCACCGTTTGGGTCCAATTGCAATACATAAGCGCTAGCCTGAAATTGTTCAGCAGGACCATGTGCTACCCCCATGCACCGCGGAAGACATTCGTCACCAGCTGAAAACCGCTACCTGACTGGGCCACATATGGACAGAGCCCCTAAGCGTCTTGGATTTCTGGTGCAACCCTGGTGTATTTCAAGGTCTCAAATGGTGTGCTGGCTCCCCTTGCTCGACCAAGACGGTCCGTATAAATCGTCTCGCACTGATAATCTCATGCTACTACGAATCAGCTGCAATGATGGGTGCGCCGTATCGTCAGCGTCCTAATTTCCTGTACTTGTTGTCTATCTTGAAAGTCGAACGGCGCCGTAAGGAAGGTCTACCAGTTCAGGGATAGGAAATCCTCGATCACGCATTAATTATCTATTACTACTAGTATACTATTGCACTAATAATCTATAGTATGTCTTACCAAAAAATGGCCCCTTCATTCTATTTCACAGAGACGCACGAGTCATCAATGCTTCCTGTATCTTCGCCTCCTCCTGCGCCCATGATGGACGGGCGATCCTGTATGCATCTCCAACCCGGGCATATGAGATGTCTCCCAAACACGCGACGGGCTTGAACTTTGCGAGGTCGATGACACCTTTCTCTGTGAGCACGTCTTTGCGGGCGTGGATGTACTTGACGTGCGCGAGGATGAGCGTGCCGGTGTGCTCGCCTGTGACTGGGTGAGTGATATCTATTGATTGGTAGAGCTGTTGGGAGGTGACGTTGTCAGCGAACGAGCGGGCTTGGCGTGAAATGAAACGACCTCGCATTCCATGCTAAAAGCGCTTTCCTTGATGCGGGAGGCTTTTACTTGCACCTGAGCACGTCGTTAGCGCATGTATCGTATCATGAACGTGCACGCGTACGCATTTCTCCTTTGTCAGACCACTGAGAGTCCACTCGTCGAAGCCGGGAGGAGCGTTTATAGCAGTTGCATTTGCATTCTCGACAAATGCCTCGCTGATGATGTTCACGGTGAATCCTTGGCCGTTCTTCACGTTCGTGACCGTGTCTTTAAAGCGGCCCGCCGCAGGGTTGTAGTTGATTGCGAATGAGATGACAGGCGGGTAGTTCGTGACCTATTGCAAGAGGTTATTGAACCATCATGTAAAGAGGGATCTTGTCTGTTGTATTGCTCACTGTGTTAAACCAACTGGTAGATGCAATCCATGTAAGTATGTGAAGCACGTTACAAACTGGAAGCGCATCTTACCTGAACGGTGCTAGGTTCTCGACGCCATCCTCGCTGATTGTGGACACGCATGCGATGGGGCACGGTACGATACCTGAAAGCAAGAGCTTGTACAACTCGCTGTCGATCGCGGTCACGATCGCGGCTAAACGGCAGGTCGAGGGGTACGTACATCTTGTCCGTTTCTGATGTGTTATAAACTTTCCACCCTGCAGATTCGCCTGCAATCCAGTCTTTGCCAGCAGGAGTGGTGTCGACTCTCTGACCATACGTCCAGGATGGATTGGGAGATTGCGTGTAGATGGAGTAGGTGGTGGAATCAAATGCAGGGATGGACATGGTCGGGTAGCTGGATGAATACAGCGAGACTGGCCCTGGATTTATAGTGACATGGTTTCAGATATTGAGGCCAGTCTTCACAAATAAGAGGCCGATAGCGTATGGGCTGACTACTTGGCTTACTACGCTGTTTGATAAGCACGCACGCGGTGATCTGACTACTTAGCTTACCACCGCCACTCGGTCGCGCCAGTCCCCGACTCCGCAGGACATGAACTCTGGGATTCCATACATTCAATTGCTTTGTTGTCGTGGGGCATGGCAGGGAGGATGATTAAGTGCGTGCCCCGGGGCACGCAGGTTTGTCACTAACTCCAGATAACGTCGTGGTCGGCGATGTGCGGAGGTCTATGGGGAGCGAGGCACCCGGCGTGAACGGAGATGAGCGCGTGGGCTGGATTAGACATCCGAGCAATATACTATCGGATTGGGTAAGCGTGAATCGTGTGCCGTCATCGTGAAAACAACTAAAATCACACTGTGCCATGACCACCAGGGCACACTGTCCTGCAGCGAAAAGAAGGGGCTCCTGCCAGAAACGGCGTGCCTCATGAGAGGCCAAACTTCCTGGACTCTCATAGGGCACGCACTTTCATCCGACACTTGAAGGCAGGGACCGGTTTTTGGAGAAAACAAGTCAGGAACAAAATGATTAGTCCAAAACCTCGGTATCGTAACCATGAGAATGATAGAGATACTCGAGCTTTGCAGCGTCTGAGTGCCTCGTGTCCTGGGCGTCTAATGATGCAGGTTGAGGCTGTGAAGAAGCACAAAAAGGCCAGGTACACGCACCTCTGAAACTTGGATCAAGACACCCACAAGCTCCCCGGCAAGTCATGCTCAACACCATCCACCTTGAGCAGAATGACGGACTTAATAGAACAGCTTGCCATTCGAATCACCACCCTCAATCGAACATTTGAAGGACATGAAGATAGTGTCTGTGCAGCCGCAGTCTTCCGCGATAGACGCTGTATGGTGACGGCCTCGTATGACAGACGCTTCGTCTGTGGGACTTAGAAGATGGTGTTGTATTGAAGATAATGGAGGTGCATCGCTTCGGTGTACGAGAAAATCAAGACTCAAGAGATGGTGAATGGATGATGTCGGTGGGGAGCTCATCGCCTGGAACAGAGACAGTGAATCTCTCACCCAGCCTATCCAGGTTCACTCCAAACAGGCATTGCCGCCCGACTTTTCCCAGACAGCACATTACTAGCGAGAGGCTCATTGGATACCACGGTGGGGCCATGGAACACAAAAGCACGGCAGGTGCAAGGAGATTTAATTGATTGTGGGACGGCGCTGAACAGTGAAAATATTAATGTTCAGACTTGAGTAGATGGGAAGCCTGGTGGGTTGCATCGAGTATCGGAGGTCCTAAGGTTGATACTGCAAACTTTGATGGCACTGCTGGTCGAGTCTTGAATATTAGATTTAATCACCCAGGAAACAATAGTACACAACCTTAATCACCTGGAGGAGCTTATAAAGAACCCAAAGCAATGTTCTAAGGACTCGTGATATGATCATAATTCAACGTGTGCGTCTCCTGAGCCGCCATGCTGTCCAGTAGTCCATGGCTCTGTAGTCGATATTATGAAACTAGGGGATTCAAATACATCTATGCTGGGTTCTATCTGTCCACCTATCGACGACACCAGTACAGCCGACGCAACGGTAGTGGCAGCCGATACAGTCGTTACAACTTCCCCAGCCTTCTGCACCACCGCGCGCGTACTTGAGCCAGAGCTTGGTAACAATCTCGTCCAGAAAAAGGCGATACGTAGCCCGCGGTCAATGATGCGCTGCTTCAGGATGAAGAGGACCACGAGGCCGAAAAACACGAGGCCGGAAATAATAAGGATGCGGTCGAGCCAGTCTGTCTTTTCGAGTGCAGTAATAAGTTGTTTGGAGGTGCCGAGGATGAGATCGAGCTTGTCATGTGTTGTGGATGCAGATTGGATAGTTGCAGTAGATGATTCTGTGTGAGATGGACAGTAGGTATTAGAAGAAAATGGTACCATAAGGAACTTACCTAGTAGTTGACTTGACAAGACACTGCGCTCAAGCTCTTTCTGCATGAGTCCAATTGTTCGTTGCAGTGCTTCTGTGACATCATGGTTGGCTTTCATGAGTATGTCTTCGCTGTAACTCACAAGTTAGCCATATCGGAGGGTACGAATGTATGCGGCGCACGAACGTGACTTTCTCGCTCAAGGAGCTTGTACTGTTCTGCCGAAAGGCAGGAGACCTCAACAACTCCTCTCGTCGTGACCGACTTTGGGAGTCAATTGCATGTTTCGATGCTAGCAATGCTGCTCGAGAGTCTTTGCGTAGACTGATATCCAGAGAGACAGACCTGTCAGAGGCTGGAAACAATACTGAACTGTTACATACTTGACTAATGAATCCCGAAAAACTTCAGCTCTTCTCCTCAGCTCTCTCCTCGCCCGTTCAGTTCTGTGGTCATCAACCAGGACATCCAGTTCCTACAAGTGGTGAGTATGGGTTGAACCTCAAAGCATGAACTGACAAACCTCGATTTGCCTTGCCAGACCTTCAATGTCCTCCCTTACCTCCGCAGCCCATGCTTGTTGCGTGGTCAAAGGACCTGTGCAAGCTCTCAGACGAGGAATCTGAAAAGTTGAAAGGTCGTTATGGTGTCGTTCGATGGACTCGATTAGAGAGAGAGCTTCAGCATCTAGCGTTGCTGGGATGGGTGGCATGTCTGAAGGTGGACGCTACAAGTACAAATATAGCAAAATGGATCATGGCACATCGGGGATTTCAGAAAGGCTGAGAATCCGAATTTGCGGCAGTCCGGCGGTCTACCGGAGGGTCTGTCTGGGGTAAGATATTCACCGGACGGCGAATACCGAACACCTTCAGTCCCGCACAATTGATTGGATTTCCTTCTACCCGCCATGTCTTTGTGTTCCACAGCTCCATGGTGTGGTCCATTGAACCACTTGCCAGAAATGCGCTGTCTGGAGAAAAGTCGAGCGAGAAAATCTTGTTGGAGTGGACTTTGACTCGGACGGGCTGGGTGAGAGATTCGCCGTCTCTGTTCCAGGCTATGAGCTCTCCACCAAAATTACCGCTTGCTATGAATTGCCCGTCTCTTGATACTGCAGCTACTCGTATGCCCCAGTGATGCCCCTCCGTTATCTTCAATACGACACTGTTTTCCAAGTCCCATAGACGAAGGGTCTTGTCGTGCGAGGCCATTACCATACGGCGTCCATCGGGGAATTCTGCAACTGCAAATACACTGTCTATGGCCTTTAAATATTTGACTAGTCGTGGTGATTCGGATGGCAGGTTGTTCTTCTTCCATCATTCTGCTCGAGGTGGACGATGTGGAGCACGATTTGCTGGAGAGCTTGTGAGTGTCTTGATCCAAGAGGTGCCGGGCCTTTTTGCTTCTTCACAGCCTCGATCTGCATATCAGATGCCCAGGGCACCAGGCACTCGGACCGCTGCGAAGTGCAGGTATCTCCTAGTAAGTATAATTCCCATGGTTGCTTGTTCATTGGATCGAAGTACGAAGGCTGTGGAGTAAAGGAGACATGGCTGACGCCACTACTACACTCGAACGAATATCCAGTCCAGTGTAATAGTGATACCCGCTGCGTTGAAGCGCGTTCGATGTTCGCTATCCGGCGAGCGTCTTGCGATTGCAGCAGAGTCCAGACAGTAATATCTAATTGATAACCCAAGCCTGATCTATGCACCAGGGAATGCGCCGGGTTACTACACTAGATTACAGCCTGCCACCGCATGCGAATAATCATGTATGCCCCATTGCAAACGGACTATGTACTTAGGTGCTTTCAGGATGTGTTACTCAACACGATCCAAGTGCACATGTTGACTCTAATGACATCAGCAAAAGTGCCCAAATCTAACTAGGTCCGGCAAGGTCCGGAGAGTCTCCCACGGCCACATGATGCGTTCCGAGGCTTGATTGTATTTGTTCGTCATCACGCAAGGTACGCACACTCGTCTCATAAGGCCTTACTAGACTGTTTCAACCTCGCGGCAGCCTCGCGAGGCATTTCAAGATCGGCGCTGTCTCGCACAGGATTGCGAGGGAAACCTCATCTCTAATAACGGTTCGTGTTTCAAAGGTACGGTCCGAGTCCTATTTCGGGTTCGGTTCATGCCTTTGAAACACATTCCTTCGGACCGTTCTCATATGTGTATTTAAGCCTTATCAATTATACTAATCGTTGATGCAACAGCTCTCCAGCAGCCTCTCTTGATGCTGCTCTACTCAGTCTCATTATTTTTGCTCGCTATTCTCACTATGGTCAACTGTCCGAACTGCGATGTTGAAGTTCGTGATCGTGGACTTTCCATGCACCTCAGCAGGTACTGCCGCATGCGTGATGTAGCCACGACATCAGTGCTTACTGAACGGCTGGAGCGCCGACAAGCCATTGCCGAAGCTGCCCGTGCAGAGGAAGAACGGCAACAGGAAGAAGAGCGTGAGGCACAGCATCGTCAACGACAACAGCAGCAGCCTCGTGTTGAGGAAGTGAGTATTATTTTTAAAACATAGACTTGATATTCATATATGAACAGGTACCAGATATTGAAATGGACTCGCGACCATCTGGGCGTCCCAATCGCCAGATACGTCTCCCCAAACATTACCGTGACGAAGTTCCAGTCCTGCCAATTCCTGCGCCACCTCCGGTTGAGCCAGATGAGCCAGCACCAGTGCCTGACGACCCAGATGACATTGCCATGGACTTCGATGACAGACCATCATCAGAGCATGCCCCCCCTACAGAGCAACATCGTATGGACATTGACACATTCGACCTTTTTCGTGAATACCCTCATTCATTTCCAACATACGACCCCGAACATTCAGCCTACTTCGATGCACTTTGTGACTCCTCAACATTCCAGCATGTTGATGGGGACGCTGATTACGAACGGCCGTGGTATGCTGGCTTCGGACAATCACTTGAGGCAGTCCACCATGACTACTTCGCACCATTCCTTAATGCCACTGTTTTCCGGCTCATGACATGGTTTTACAACTCATCGATCTTGAAATCACTGCAAGATCTCAATCGTCTAGTCAACGATGTCATTTTAGTGGAGGATTTCTGCCGAGAGGATTTGCTAGATTTTAATGCACCTAGGGAGGCATCGCGTCTCGAGAAGGCCCAACACGACCCTGCCTCATCCATATTCTCATCCGATGGATGGCATGAGGCCTCAGTGAAAATCCGACTCCCATGTGAAAAAGAGAAGTTCTCTTCTGAGGATTGTGCACCTGAATTTGAAGTTGACGGGCTCTATTACCGCAAGCCATTAGAGGTCCTCAAATCGGCGTACGCAGAAGTTGCAGCCAAAACATTTCACATGAAGCCATACAAACTATTCTGGCAGCCGGAGGACGACGAACCCCCAGAGTGAATCATTACTGAACTGTATACATCTGACGCCATGCTTCAAGAGCAAGCGAAGCTCAACTCGCAGCCCTGTGAACCAGACTGTAATCTAGAAACTGTCATAGCTGCAATCATGCTCTGGTCCGATTCCACTCATTTAGCAAGCTTCGGAAATGCTTCTCTCTGGCCGATATACTTGTTCATTGGCAATCAGTCAAAGTATATTCGTGGCAAGCCAACATCGTTTGCAGCACATCATCTCGCATATATTCCAAAGGTCTGTCTTTAATATTTGAACTTGAGACACGAACTAATTATGTGTATAGCTATCAGATACTATCCAAGACTTCTACAAGAAGACTTTTGGTCGTAGTGCCACAGGAGCAGTGCTCACGCATTGCAAACGTGAATTAATGCAGGCCGTTTGGCACTTCCTGCTCGATGCTGAATTCATAGATGCATATGAACATGGCTTCGTTGTCAAGTTCCCTGATGGAGTCTCTCGTCGTGTGTTTCCTCGTTTTTTCACCTATTCTGCTGATTATCCGGAGAAGTCTGTTTCACATCTTACTTGATCACACCATACTAATCTCCCTGATGTCAGGGTTCTACTTGCATGCATGAAATTCCTCGGGAGGTGTCCATGCCCACGGTGTCTTGTTAGCAAAGACAACATTTTCAAATTAGGGACAAAGTTCGATCGACGGCAGCACACCAGAAATTCTCGAGTTGACAATCATCCACGGCGTAGTCTCATTGAACGAGCCTGTGAACTCATATTTGTTCGAGGCTATAGTGTAGTCAGCTCTGCAATTGAGAGAATTGTTGGTACCACCTCTGTGGCACCTATTCGTGTATGTATGATTTGAATTGATCTCTCAACTTGAAAGTTTACTAACTGTGAGCATCAGAATGCCTTTTCAGAGAAGCTTGCCAAGTTCAGTTTTGATTTCCACTCGATGCTCGTGCCCGACTTTATGCATGAGTTTGAGTTGGGAGTATGGAAGGCAACCCTTACGCATCTTCTCCGAATTTTGTATTCATATGGAGGTACTGCTGTGCAAGATCTCAATGAGCGGTAAGTCGTTTTTTCTCATATATTTGCATGTCCATCGTGATGATCCAGGTATCGTCTCGTGCCAACATTTGGACGTGACACCATCCGCAAGTTTAGTGACAATGTGTCAGGTCTTACAAAACTCGCAGTGCGTGATTTCGAAGACCTGCTTCAGGTAGGAGCATAAGTAATACAGCTGCTGTCATGCTGATCAATGCTGGCAGTGTGCGATGCCAGTATTTGATGGTCTTCTACCGGAACCGTTCAACAACTCAATCCTCAACCTTCTGTTTGAGCTGGCCACCTGGCATGCATTTGGGAAGCTTCGTATGGACACGGAGATGACACTCTACCATTTTGATAATTGTACGACATGGCTAGGAAAGGCTCTCCGGCGATTTCGTGACAACACATGCAAAAAATTTGCTACTCATGACTTGCCACATGAAATGGCTGCTCGTGCACAGCGTCGGCGTCTGAAAGTGTCTAAAGGCAAGAAAGCAGGGTCAGAAAGGACAAATATTGATGTTGAAGGTGATGGCCCCTTGAAGCAACACATTTTTAACCTCTCGACTTATAAACTTCATGCTCTCGGAGACTATGTCAGGTCAATCTGGCTATATGGGACCACGGACAATTACTCTACACAAGTTGCAAGTATTGGAATCTATCACCTACCATTCACCTACTAATGTTGGAATTAGGGTGAACTTGAGCATCGACGAGTGAAGCGATTTTATGCACGGACCAACAAGAACAAGTTCACACGAGGAATTGCAAGACTTCAGCGTCGCGAGCGCATTTTGCAGAGGATGAAAGAGGTGAACCATGAAAGGGCAGCTGCACAAGAGAATCATGCACAGCCTGAGACTGAAGATCTCTGTCCATCTCTTCATTTCGTTGACCAGGACCCACTGCCGCATTGCTCACCAGAGATCCACTACCAGATGTCCTCATCACAGAAACATTACTGAGATATTTCTTCCTGGCTTGGAAAGAACAGAAATGACCAGGCCACAAAGGTAGGTCTCCGAAACTCGTAAAATGACAAATGTATTTGCTCACTGGATGTAATTAGAATTTCCTTCCACGTCTCAAAGATCACCTGCTGGGTCGCTTGTCAGGACTGGACTACGACGGGGATGAGACTTCATTTAGTGCAGCACAACGAAACTCTGTTGCAATTATCAACAATCGAATTTATCGTCACAAAGTGCTTCGTGTCAACTACACTACCTATGACTTGCGGCACGCTCAGGACTCCCTCAATCCCCGCACGCATGCAGACATCATGGTTCTTGCCTGTGATCAGGAAGACTCCCATCCATACTGGTACACCCGGGTTATTGGCATCTTTCATGCCAATATCCGCTACATGAGACAAGGTGCACATCCCACTATAAAGCGTGTCAACTTTTTGTGGGTCCGCTGGTTCGCTCGTGACATCACTGCACCAACAGGTTGGGCAGCAAAACGGCTGCCACGAGTTGGGTTTTATGATGGAAACAATGAATCAGCCTTTGGGTTCCTTGATCCTGACCTCATCGTTCGTGGCGTTCACCTTATCCCAGCCTTTCGACATCTACGTACGACTGCACTGTTGGGACCATCCATCGCCCGTCAAGCAGCTGACAATGACGAGGATTGGGACTGGTACTGCGTCAACATGTCAGTTATTTCCCACTAACGACATGAATCAAATCTGATAAATTACCAGGTTCGTCGACCGAGACATGTTCATGCGCTTCCATGGAGGAAGCGTGGGGCACAAATCCACACAAAGAGAGATGTCATGCCTGCTTGATGATTGTGATGAGTTGGATAGAATCCCCTTCCAAAGAGAGAAAGAGCGCCATGGATCAGAATTCAATGAGGGCTCTGAAGAAGATGAGGATATGGAGGAGGATGGAGATGATGGGAGTGGTGATGATAGCAAGGAGGAAACAGATGATAGCAAGGAGACAGACAGCATGGACGATGAGGACAGGGATGAAGTTCTAGCTCCCTTTGAAGCAATGGTAGACGACACTGTTGCCGACGAGATGGATGAATATGGATACTCCGGCCTTGATCAAGTCCTTGACGAGGATGGTGCAGATGAAGAAACTAATGAGATTGATGACTTCGGTCCAGAAGATGGGGAGGATGTGATGAACGAGTTCAAGGAGGATAGCTTTGCAGACTTGTAATTGACGACGGTGCATGACAGATAGCTCAGAAATTAGCTCTGTTATTTTTAAAGTAATTTACATGTGGCCTGAATCACAGGATGGGTTGGGCCGTAGACAAAATGAGTACAATCAGGTAAAGGTGGGAATCAAAACGCTCGTTGAAATGCGCGAGGATTAATGATCGTCAACAGTCAGCCTTGTTGCGGCAATACTGGGACACCACTGAGAGACCTTCCAGTTGTCGCTTTTTCTCCTCTGGAGTCCAAGCCGGTCCTTTATCATTGCGGTTGCTCAACGTTGAGTGGATTACAAAGCGCACCATTCGATGCGGTCAGACAAAGGCTGGAGTGAACAAACACAACTTTACCATCCAGTTTGTCGATTCCCATCCCAAATGCGATCTAAGAAAAGAACTCAATGACACTGTCCCTGAGTGGTAGGTGATGAGCTGCACAAAAGGGAAAATAAATGTTTCTGCTTACTCCACATCTACGATAGAGTTATCTTCTCATCGGACAACCATCTTTGCGACTGCTGCAGGTGCGAGTGGCCTGCGATCCTGATAATAAATGTTATAAGGTTATGAGACAAAGGCGCGACGGCTCGTGCACTTTATCACCAAAACCACACATACGGGCACGCATAGGGTGTTGTACTACTTCAAGGGAATAATGCCTGATGATCGTTAAAGGTTAAGAAGAGTGGCGGACAACTCAGGACATAATTGACTGACTTTCGGCCCCACCATTGTTAAGTTCTCACGTCGCGAGTGCGCTAAAGGTGAAGATGCGAGGGCGGGTGAAGATGCGAGGGCGGGTGAAGATGCGAGGGCAGGTGAGGGCGAGAATGTGAGGTTGGGTGAAGATGTGAGGTTGGGTGAAGATGTGAGGGCAGGTGAAGATGGGTCTGAGCTTGACAACTGATCTTTTGCATGGCAGGTATTGAAGGGTATGAGCGACGGCAGATCTGCAGATCTGAGCTCCGTCAAGCACAAGGGCCTGCAATACATTGGGCTAAATATGTATAGTAAGGCCGATGCTCTTGACCCGCCAATTCCAGAAATCAAGGATAAGTCAATGTGTGGGCTCAATCACCCACAGTTGGCTCGTTTACTTTGCCCTCGGAAGAAATTGGATTGGTTTGACGAGGACCCTGATTCATTTCATTATTTGTACTGATGTCACTATGTTCAGCGCTATGGCTGCCTTGCAAGCTGGCGAAATCACCATGACGGCACACAACTGGCCAACATTCTTTTATGAACATGGCGTTTACGATGCTGCTGAGAAGACACATGGCCTGTTTCGAAACCACATTGTTCTGAGGGTGCGTCTTCATTTTCTACGCTGTCATTTATTTATAACAAAGTTACTATAGTTTTATAAACATCTTTTTATTGGACCATTATCCGTCATGAACGATGCATCAAATGTCCGCAACTCTGTGAAGCCATCCAAAAATCGTGCATGGGGACTGACAGCTGTCAACAAATACATCATCGCATATGTTCACATTATCGTAAGTTTAGCTCTTTTGCTATTGATATCAGCACCCCTCTCATGAACCCATAGACACACTTTACGATCAGCAGCGCTCAGCACTGGACACAGTGTATTGGCGACATGGACTTGGATGAGCTCCTCTGGGCCATCATTGAAATGCTAGACGACGACGACGATCTATGGGTCAAAGACACCCTCGTGTGGTGGAACAGGTACATTTTTCTGCGTGGTTAGTTCAGTGCTAATTGTTCGCAGGCACCTCAAACCAACCAAGGACAACTCACACTCAGCCAAGCTCATGCGAAAGGAAAGTGAGGACGACATTGCACAAATTTGTGCTCAGCGAGCTGCACGCCGTTCTGCATTAGTTACATCAGATGGTATGTGATAGATGTATATACAATGCTGGTACTGATATTTATTTCCCAGTGCTGTCATGTCCGGTCAACCCTAATGGGTCTCGAGAGCCCTCAACCAGTAAGCAAGCTCGCCCTGTGGAGTACGAAGACGAAGATGATATAACACATGCACCCAAATGGCTTTGGCGAGCGGGTGACGACCTTGCCAGTGACTCACCACCTCACCCAAATTCCAACGCTAAGCAGCACCGCACCTCAGTTTATGATGACAATGAGGTTGCGGTACCACGAACACAGTCAACCCACCCTCGGTTGGAAAGGCAAGGGCAGCCTGCGAAGCCACGGCCCCTGCACCAGCGCCACACTCAGGTTACTTCAGACGACAATGAAGATACCCCACCCCCTCACAAGCTCAAATCCAAGCGCCCTATCTCTCTCGATGATGATGCCAACGAGCTGGAAATAGCAGCACAACCCAAACGGCCTTGATCTGACCCCCACGTGCCATTGCCTCCAAAGTTCAATAAACCTCGGTACTCCACCTCTGATCATGGTGAGGCTCCAACTTCGATGCAACCTGCCCGTGGAGCTACAGATTCCGATGGAGAGGAACACCAACCTCGGCTAAGCAAGCCTCAGCATCCTACAAGTGCCTCCGTCCAGTATGATGACGAGGATCAGCCTCCACGTCCTAAGCCGAAACCCAAGCCGAAACCTCGACGCCCTGCTGCTTGTGATGAGCACGAGGATTCACTAAGTGTGCATGTGACCAAGCAGTCGTCGAATGTGATTCAGGTATGCAGCTAAGACCATTTTTTTGTCATTATAGTGATATTATGATTAGCAGTCTCAGCCAGTGTCTCCACCTCGACGCCCCTCACCCCCACTGTCAGATCTGACTGACAATGACATCAACTTCTCCCCGCAAGCTCCAATGGCTCCCGTTCCCTCAAAGAAGAGAGGGAGGAAGAAAATCACCGATCCTGACGCTCCTCGAAGAACCTCCGTACGAAAGAGGGCTAATGGCTATTAGGACTGCATCTCTCTCATTGGACTTTCGTTCTCCGTTTCTCGCATTACTGCTTCTGCTGACATAGACTTAATGCACGCTTTGGACTTTGCCATATGGACTTTGTGCAACTTATGTATTTTAGCTACCAGTGTCATGCTAATGCGATGCCTCTTGGGGCCTTCTAATGTACACAAGTCTCGAGTGATCTAGTAAGACCTAGTATTCCCTTGCAAGCCTCAGCAGCCTCGCAAGGTTCTAATAAGACCTAGTATTTCCTTGCAAGCCTCAACAGCCTCGCAAGGTCAACCTAGCTAGCACACCCTCAAAAGGCCATCCTAGACGTGCTCTCAGAAGGCCATCCAAGACGGGGCTATTTCCTCGCAAGGCATCGCAAGCCTTCCAATATTCGCAAGGTCGTGTATGGTCTTGTTAGGCCTTCCAAGGCCTCGTCAGGTTTGGGCACTTTTGCTGATGGAAGACACACGATATCGTCCTCTGCGACCACCTCGAGAGCAGATGGTGCCTCTACATGTCAAATTTTGAAATCTTGTATTTGCGAGGGTCATTTGCAGAGTATGTATGATATACGAGGCTATGATAATGTGATGTGATCGTCGATGTGGTGTAAAAAACCATTCAGCTACAATATGTCTAGGGTCCTGATGTTCATAATGTCAATCGAAGCCGGGTGTTTCATCTGCGCAATGATATTATGGTCTGACGCGACCCTCTTGTATTCTCCAACGCGTTGCTGCGCTAGCAAAAGTGCGCTGAAAGCCTGCCCAAGGTGAACCATCAAACGCAATGATCGTGAGTGAACATCCGAGTCAACTGACAACTCCTCTTCTCCAGGTGAGTTGCTGGAAGACTCGTCAGTGTCGTGTAATCCAGACCGGGACTCGAACCAATCCTCTACGCTCTCCCCTTCGTCTGCAAAGGTGAGCTGCTCTGAAAAATCAGGCAGCCCAAGGAGACGACGATCCCATGGACGGACAAGAAAGAATGTCTGCCGAGTTGGTCTTGCGCGCGAGAACTGAATTAGTGTCTTGTCCATGGTGATCAGTAAGTCCTGAAGCCCATCTGCTTTGACTTCATATATGGAATGAGCAGCATGACCAGGCCTCCGTTTGACTTCCGTGACATGGAATGCGATGCAAGGAAGATGCAGTCTGCAGTTTGCGAAGAGCGGAGTATTCATGTTCTCAAGCATGTTATACAACTTCGAAGCTACATCCACAGGCACAATGTTTCGCAATGAAGAGACCGCTGTCTGAATCTCATCTTCAGACAATAATGGTGGGGAGTATGGCGGGGCTGCATATGAGATGATGTCGGCTAGAAGGCAACTATTGAACTCTGACGATTGTCCGACCCAATCCAGGGCGATGATGTCACCCGACCAAGACACGATATCCTGCAGGAGCCGGCCGAGCGCGCTCTGCTTCCTCTCGCCATAGATGACAGGTAGGTGGACGTCGAAGATACCAAATAACGAGTACGCGGTGTCTTCCTGCACAGTGGTGACACGCTTCGATGCCCATTGCAGCTTCTGTCTAACATCTCTCATCCCTGGATGGAAGGAGATCAGGGCCTGTGCATCTATGCCCGTCGCACCCTCCAACTCCTTCATGATTGCTTGGGACTCTTTGTGGTTGAGAGAGCGATCGTCGAGATATAACGACCAATCCTTCTGATAAAATCTAACGACTTTCGGAGCGACAAACTCTTGAAAGGTCCATCCCCGCTCGTTCCAAATACTGCTCACTAGTGCACCGGGTTGGGATGAAGGAGGGACATCGGATAGGTAGACAATGGTGAGCGCTGAGTGACGGTACCAGACGAACATGGATTGGACCGATTCTCCAAGCTCGGCGTTGTTGCTCTTATCGATGCAGCATGTATCCATCCACGCCCAGAAATACCCCGCATCACGAGCGATTTTGCAGAACGACTGCAGTTTCGTGATGCCACCAAGTCCCTTCAACTCGCGCACATCTTGATTTTGGATGTGGTGCAGCAGCACCTCCGTCTCTTCCCACCTGTGTGATAGCAAAACGCAACGGAAGTGCATGGCCACCACCTCCTTGATGCGTTCCATTTCGAGATCCGAACGCTTCGTTATGGATGACAAAAGCTCCTTGTATTCTGGACTTGTTTTGAAGGAGTTTAGCTGTGCTGCTCGGTCGCACAAAATCCCCATAGAGGTGTTGAGCAGACGAAGGGGGGCATTGCTGAGTTCAATCGAAACCGCTTTTCGAATAGCTGTCTTCTGCTTCCGATGGATGGACGTACTGCTCACGCAGATCTGCAGAACAAGATGGATGTTTCGAGACGAGGTAGTAATGTTCCATGGCTTACCTCGTATCTGCACTTCTGAGGCGTCGTCCAACTTGGAAAACATGATTGTGAAGGCCTCGACGGCTTCTTCGTAACGTTGCGCGCCACGCAGCGCTGAGTGTGATAACTGGTACCCAACATGAGACGAAGGATTGAGTTCAGTGACCTATGCATCGCCGAAGTCAACATGGGCTACTAGAACGTGGATGCCATCGCACCTTTCGCACGTCGAGGAGCGCATCCTCCCACAGCATTTTACTTGACTTTGCCTCGCTGCGACGTGCAAAGAAAATATCAGATGCAGAATCCAAGTCGATCGCCATCGAGTATAGGTCAATAGCCTTGTTATAATCGCTTGCAGCGAAGGCAGCCTCTCCATTGGCAGCGCAGAGTGCGCTGCATTCCTGTTTGAAATCTGAGAAGAATACAGGTGAGGATTGTCGCCTGCGCGACATTACGGGTTCTAAACTCACCGTTGGACCAATCAAGGCAGTCGGCTTTGGTGATTTCGTCACTTGAAGCCATCATGTGTTGGTATGATTTCACGGCATCTTGGAGTTTACCGGCCCGAAGGAGTGCATCACAGCGTTTATGGTGTGCCTTTTGCCACAAGGACTTCAGGTCCCAGCCAAAGAGCTGGACAAGAGATTCAGTTATGAGAAGCGTCATATGTGCATCATCTTGACGTACCACCACCAAATCTTCGTATACTTCATGAATGTTTGATTCCGATGATAAATCGCTGGAGTCGATAGCGGCAGTGAAATGGTCGGCGGCTTCATCGTAATGTGCGCCATCCAGGGCTTTGATACCGAGTTGAACGTGTAGATATGCCTAATGTGCGAGTTGTAAGGATGAGTGTTGATGACCAAGCATGGATGATGCTTACTTGCACGATATCACGTGCAAGAGTATCGGTATCCGGACAACCGGCAGCGAGCTCCTTGAGGAGCAGGCTTGCCTCGTCATGTTGATCTGCATTAAAGAGCGCGATGGCCTTAAATACAGCGATGAGGGGAAGAGTATGCGAGGCAAATGTAACATACCTTGATCAATAGCAGAAAATGAGTGATTTCTAATCCTGGTCCGTGTACATGGATGCAACATCAAATGCTGCCCTCGCATCCAGGACACGGCCGTTTCCACAGAGGGAAATACCCTTGGAGATATAGCCCGTCAATGAGGGCTCAATGCTGATGGACTGTGTCACCGTCGAGTTAGTCCTTCATAAGGCAGCGATGATTCTCACCTTGATTGCGTCCAGAAGGGCGCGGTCCCAGTCATGTTTTCGCGCTATGACGAATGACCGATGGGCATAGGAAGTATGGTTGTTCGGACTGGTGTTGATATCTTGAGTGAGTAGTTCTTCGGCTGGTAGATAAGTCTCCATTTAGACAAGCAATATGGGAGGTCGTGATGGCTAGGATCTGCACGAAACAATGCTCTAATTGTGGTATATATGAGTTAAGAACGGAAACATGCCTTTGAGCGATGGACGTAGGGAGTATGGTTGTTCGCATCGGTATTGATATCTTGCATGAGTAGTTCTTCGTCAGTAGATAAGTCTCGATCTATGCATGTATCGCGGACTGTTGTTGTGGCAATAGTCTGCAAGAAGCATGCTTCGATTTATGGTATATGAGTCAGAGACGGAAACATGCCTTTGAATGTATACCATAGGGTACTGCCCACTCTGAGATGATCTTATCGTCGCCTCCACTGAGGATGTGATTGCCGTCCATAGAGAAAGTAATGCGTGAATTGGCGAGTGAGTGCTTGAAGACGGCAATGGTTTGTCGGTCTGAGAGCTGCCAGAGACGGATGTGGCTGTCACTAGATGTGGATGCAACGAGCGGTGTGCCAGCAGGATGAATAGCAATGGCTTGGACGTGGCTAGTGTGGCCCGTCCAAGTATCACCGACCTGCTTCCAGGTTGTTGTATCCCATTCGCGTACAGTAGGATCTTTACTATCGCCGCCTGTGAGAAGGCGTGTGCCATCGGGCGTCCATGCGAGTGACAAGTTGTATGATTTGTGACCCTTTAACCTTGCGACGCGCTTCCTCCTGGCTGAATTACAAATTTGAATATTGTGGTCTGTTGCGATGGCAAGAAGTTCTCCAGACGGTGAATACAGTACGCAGGTGACAAATTGACACTCGATCGGATCTCCTTGTAGCTGCCAGGTTTTGGTATTCCACAGTTTTGTCATTTTTTCCAAATATGCATCAGTGGCCAGCACTGTTCCATCGGGAGAAAAATCCAGCGAGGAGACCAAATGGGAGTGTGCTTTGATTTTGGTGAGTAATTCGCCAGTTTCTCCGTGCCAGACGATGACCTCTCCGCTTATATCACCACTTGCTATCAATTGCCCATCTCGTGATACCGCCAATCTCGACACCCCTTTGTGATGCCCTTCCATTTTCTTCAACACAACACCTGTCTTCAAGTCCCACAACCGAAGTGTTGTGTCCTCCGAGCCCGTAACCATCCGACGTTTATCAGGGAAAACTGCGACTCCAGTTATGCGTTCTTCATGGCCTTTGAACCATCGCAGGGGAGTGGTGATTGTAATGAGCTCCGACATTTTACTGGATGTTGATGGTATGGAATAACGGACGAGGCTAGACTTTGGAGGGATTATGTCTCTTTCTCTCAGCTGCAGGGGGTGTATGGTGCGTTTTATGGTGCTTCACAATTGCCTCATTTCAATAGACGCCCAGGACATCTAGTAAGGCTGTTCGTGCCCACGCCTCTATCACCCTATTGTCATACCCGCTGTCCTCGACAGTATGCACATCTGCAGTGCATACATGCGTCCGACTCTTGTCTTCGCAGCTTCCAGAATGTATCCCATTGCATCAAGTCGAGCAGTCCGTGCTTTCCATCGTTCGAGTCTGACTGTCTATCCTGCATGAATACCGTTGTTTTTCGTATCTAGCAGCTACTCCAGCTTATCACCACGTTATTACTCTTTCGAACGCATGTATATAGCTTACTGCAATATCACTTCTCCATCCAACAGACTCCCACCCAAGATCCTTGTGTGCACAAGATGCAACCAAATTTCGTGGTACAGCCTCGGAATCTCCTCACTATCGGCACACTGCTAATGGCCGCATCTCACTGCGATGCCCCTCCGTATTCTCCAACACAACACCTGTCTTCAAGTCCCACAAACAACTCAAGCGTCTTGTCAATACGAGCTTGTCATCATACGTTGTCTATCGGGAAAACCCGCGACTGCGCTTGCACCGCTCTCACGATCTTCAACAACGTACGTGCGGTGCTTGAAACGAGCTTCGACATCTTGCTGGATGCTGAAGATGTGGAGCACGGTCGAGGTAGACTTTGGAGGGATTGTGGGTGTCTTTCTTTAGGCTGCAGAGGTGCGTATATCGTGCGTTTCTATATTGCTTCACCCCATTGACTTGCCTTGTGTTTCCTTAGACACCCTAGTAAGACATGGACCCCATTCATCTCTTCAGGTGAATATGTCTCCCTTACTGCTTCGTTAATCTTGCAACTAGTCTCAAGGACGATATCATCCTCATATTACAACCTGCTGAAGCCCAAACTTCTTCGCCGTCGCCTGTGTTGTCTCCTGCATTCAATACCTTCTTCGCCGCAGCTTGCTACTCCATCTCATTAGCACAGGCCAATAATGCATGGACACTCCTACGACATGTTATCTGGCATGGTGCCATTGATGTGGATGTCAGTTCAATATCGGAAAATGATGCGCAGCGCAGGGGATCACTCGCTATTATAGATACTGGTGATCACGTTCAATCTATTCGCGCGAACCACGATGTTAGATCGCCGCTCCAAGGTCATCATAAGGTAGATAACGGGTATATGGATGTACATATAAATATGTATAAGTAATTTGAAACGTCCGAAATGTTCAAGGAAAGGACATCTGAAAATTCCATTATTCTTCAAAGTTACACCACCTCTACTGTCTTGACGCAGTCTATGATGTTGCGAATAGACTCGGAAGTCGTTTCTTTGACTTGCGCAATGATATCATGTTCTGATATGACTCTTGTGTAATCTTCGCCGCATTTCTGGGCTAGCAAGAATGCCCTGAAAGGCTGTTTGAGGCGAGCAATCAATCGTAACGCTCGTTTGCTTAATTCAGAATCAAGCGACTCGTGCTCTCCAAAGAACCCGCCATGCGAATCTGACGGGGATGGGGGAGAGGATAAATCGTCCATGCTTTCGGTATCGTCCGAAAAGTCAGGTAGTTCGAGGAGACGACGGTCCCAGGGACGGACGAGTAAGAATTTCTGTGCAGCGGGTCTTGCTTGCAAGAACGGCAGCCTTTTGCTTGTGGTGATGAGCCCTGGCAGGTCACGAAGCCCATTTGCCTTCACGTCATACGTGAAACCTATCTCTCCATCTTCAAGTTGATGGCGCCTCCCCTTGATTTGAGTGACACGGAACACGATACAAGGCAGATGTAACCGCTGGTTTGAGAAACCGGGGTGGTTTGTGCCGTTGAGCTTGTCATACAATTCTAAAGCCACCGTTCCATCCACAGCGTCTTGCAGCGACTCAATAGATGCCCGAATCTCATCTTCAGACGGGCATGACAACAAGGATGTCGATCCGTACGACGTGATATCGGCTGGCAGACAGCTATTGAATTCGGATGATTTGCCAACCCAGTCCAGGACGCTGATGTCACGCGACTGGGCAACAATCTTCTCCAAGAGCCGACCGAGCGCCTTCTGTTTGGTCTCGCCATAGATTACGGGTAAGTGGACGCCGAAGATACCAAATAATGAGTATGCAACGTCTTCTGGCTTCTCGGTGAAGCGCTTCGATGCCCATACGAGTTTCTCGCGGGGATCTCTCATTCCAGGACGGAAGGTGACGTGAAACCGTGAATCTATTCCCGTAACATTCTTCAACTCTTGCATGATAAACTTTTTGTGATTGTTAGAGTGATGATTAAGATACGGGGTCCAATTATTTCGGTAGAAGAGAATGATGTTGGGAGCCAGGAATTCTTGGAGTGTCCATCCTCGGGTGATCCAAACACTGCTGACGAGTGCACCAGATCCCGATGAAGGTGAGACGTCAGATAGGTAGACAATTGTGAGGGCTGAGTGATGGTACCAGCGAAACATGGAGGTGATGGATTCTGGGAGCTCCACGGTGTCTTCCTTGTTTATGCAGCATGTATCGCTCCATGCCCAGCGGCAGCCAGCATCACGAGCAGTTTCGCAGAACCGCTGCAACTTCCTGACGCTGCCGACTGGGTTCAACTCGTACACGCTCTTGCCCTGGATGTTGCGCAGTAGCGGCTCCTCCCCTTCCCACCTATGTGACAACATGACATAACCAAAGTACTTCTTCACTACCTCTTCGATGCGCTCCATTCGAAGGTCCGCACGCGTCGTTATCGATGATAGGAGTTCCTTGTACTCCGTGCTCCTCTCGAAGGCCTCTATTTGTGCCTTTCGTTCGCATAAGCGACCGGTGGAAGTGTCAAGTACACGAATCGGCGTGTGTTCCATGCGAGCAGTAATGACTTTTTGGATTTTCATTTCTACGTCAGATCGAGAGACATACTGCTGGCGCAGCTCTGAAGAAAGGGTCAAGCATCTTGAGGACGCGTTGCTCAAAGCTTACCTTGTTGTCGCGTGTCGGGAGAATTGTCCAACTCAGAGAGCATGACTTGGAAGGCTTCGATAGCTTCATCGTAGTGTTGTGCAGCATGAAGCACTGCATGCTTCACTCGGTATCCATTGGAGGGACTGAGTTTAATGACCTATCACCAAAATGAGCGTCGACTACGTAATGATAGATGCCATCGTACCTCTTCTGCATCGAGAAGTGCATCTTCCCATAACCTTTGTTTCAACTTTGCCTTGCTGCGTTTTGTGAAGATGGTGTCGCTGGCTGAATCCAGGTTGATTGCCGCCGAGTATAACTCAATAGCCTCGTCATAATTGTTCGCGTCGAAGGCGGCATGTCCACTTGCAACGATGTCAGTAAATCCTTGGGCAGTATAACGCTCCCTGCAGGCTTGCTTGAATGCTGAGTGAAAATGCAGGTGAGAAATGGACCAGGTGACATTGATGAAGACTTGCCAGTGGACCAAGCAAGACAGTTAGCCTTTGTAGCTTCATCACTCATATCCATCATATATCGGTACGATTCGAGGGCCTCTCTAATTCCACCTGCCTGCAGGAGTGCATCGCACCGTCTCTGGTTTGCAATTTGCCACACTGACTTGAGGTCCCATCCGAAGAGCTGGATAGATCACGGAGTTAGGCAATGACAGGATTTCCACTTGCATCATATCCACGCACCACAATAAGGTCCTCATATTCAGAACAAATGGTAGACCAAATGGCGGATTCGGATGAGCCAGCGATGGTGCCGACAGCGAAGTCTCCCGCATCTCCGTTACGACCCGCGCCACTCAAGTTATCTAAATAAACCTTACGTAAAGTTTTTTAATAAGTATCAACCGAGAACTGGATTCAGTCGGCAATACTTACTTCCACGATACTGCAAGCAAGACTATCAGCATTAGGAGAAGCATCTGGAGGCTGTTGAATGCGGGGTATTGCTTCGCGATGCTGCTTTGCGTTGAATAGTGCAATGGCCTGAAAACCGTGATGAATCAGGAATATGGGAGAAAGATTTGACCTGCCTTTATTAAAAGAAGAATGGTCTTCGAATGTCCATCCGTGAACATGGTCGCAAGGTTAAATCCTTCCATTGCATCCTGGAACTCCTGTTTTCCGCAATATGCGATGCCGCTGGAGAGATACCCTGTCAAGGAGGGCATCGCAACGGACTAAATTACCATAGTTTAGCCTATGTTACAGCGGTGTCCAATAGCGTATCTCACCTTGAGTGCATCATCAAGGGCGCGGTCCCAGTCGGCTTTTCGCGCCCTAACAAATGAGCGATTGGCATACGCGTTGTGGTCGTTATTGTCAGCATCAATCCGTTGTGTTAGCAGTGCTTCAGCAGCATCCAAGTCCCCGGCTATGCATGCATTGCGGATTGTCGAGTCCATCTCGAGGATCTGCGGGAAATATAGTTTTTGCATTGCCGAGAGTGAAGGACTAAACATGCCTTGGAATCAAACGATGGCACTGCCCACTGAGAGATCTTTTTATCAAGACCTCCGCTGAGGATGTACTTGCCATCGGTGGAGAAGGTGACACAGCACACCGTATGGGAGTGCTTGAACGAGGCGATAATTCGTCGATCCGACAGCTGCCAGATGCGGACATAGTGATCATAAGACGTGGAGGCGACGAGGGTGCCAGTAGGGTTCACAGCCAGGGTATTGATGCCCTTACTAGGACTAATACTGCAGGCATGACCGACCTGTTCCCACGTTGATGTATCCCACTCCCGTATAGTGGGATCTAGATAGGAGCCTGCTGTGAGCAACCGTCTGCCATCAGGCGCCCATGAAAGCGAGTAATTCCATGCCGAATTGAACGCAGCGTGAGCCTTGAAGGTTTTGAGTTGTTCCTTGCTGTTTGGATTCCATATCTGGATATCCCCAGATGTCGCGATGGCAAGATGTTCGCCAGACGGGGAATACCGAATGCATTGGACATAATCACCGCAATCGATTGGATTTCCTTGCTGCTTCCACGATTTTGTACTCCACAACTTTGTAGCTTTGTCCACTGAACCAGTTGCCAGCACTTCTCCATCTCGAGAAAAGTCCAGCGAGTAGATTGCTGCGGAATGGGCTTTGATGATTTGGGTGAGCGATTCTCCAGTGTCGACGTTCCAGATAATAAGTTCTCCGTTGTGATCACCGCTTGCTATGAATCTCTCATCTCGAGATACCGCAACTGCCCACACCCAGCCGCGATGACCTTCCATTTTCTTCACCGCACCATCGTCTTTCATGTCCCACAGACGAAGTGTATTATCTCCCAAGGCCGTCACCACTCGTCGTCCATCGGGAAAGACTGCAACTGCATATATAGTGTGTTCGTGAGCTGCAGCCACTCGAACTGGCGTGGTCATTTGGATGATGGGTTGAGCTACATTTACCATTCAGTTCTAGGTTGATGGTGAGAGCGGTTAAGCGTCGGTGGACTTGCTGTATAGTAGGGACTTTTCATGCCTTGTGAAGCTTTATGCTGAACAATAGTTCCCGTTTTGATAATATTTCACAGCGCTAATTTGTGGTGTGCAGTGCCCTGTCACTACTCTGCCACCGTTCGGGTGTCTTAACTGTGGCGAAACTAGTAATAGGTGCCAGCAGTGCAACGTAAGAACGTAAGAAGAAGACCTCCCGAAGCCAGCACAAGCCTCACCTTGCTCCTTCCCGTGCTTGCATATACATATCATTCATAGCTAAAATACTCCCAATAGGACATTCCGCACCGCTATACATGTGCTACCAATGGCATCAGAGGGAGTGCGTACTAATAGTACTTGGTACCTTGACAGGTGCCTATCACACATGATCGCTGTGTCTTATCAGACGCCATTACTATGAGGCTATGCCTTTGGTCCAAACTTGCAGCAGGGCCCAGGCTCATTGCTGCAGCTTTTCATATTGGGCCAACACACCACGTTAAACCCCCGGGCCATCATGGTTGTTCTGCTTATATCCGGACACATTTGGAGTGCGTTATTCTTCCCTGCTCACCTTGTTCAGGAAACAGACACGCATTCACACCCCTTTGCGTATCAGGTCTGTGAAAATTGCTCAGCTCAAGTCTTGTGATATCTCCTTCATACACCAAGTCGCACAAACTCTCATGGTACGTGTAACAGATACACATTGCAGCCGAAGAACCTCGCTTCCCGTGTCGGCAACTCCAACAAAGCTTCAAGTTGCTGTTTGTTCATTGCCAATTAGATTGCGGACCAATTGTTCGGCGACTGACTCGTTTCCCCAACGCTTACCTACGCTGGATCGACATCATTCCCGTTACATTTACGAATGGCAGGGCTGACCTTGAAGGCGCAGAAACCAGGGTCAAGAGAATTTCATTTGGCCTATGTGCACAGACTTCTTCCACGGCAGTGCCGCA